ATCCCCCCTCCTCTCTTCTTCCTCTCCCCCCTGCCCTTCTCCCCTGTCTCTCACTGTGATCCATCCTGTTTTCCTGTCTCAACCCCTCTCATAAATATGACAAGTCCCTCTGTTTTAGCCAAGGAAAACATCTCTCTGGATAGCTGGCGAACAAGGACCTCACATCTGTGTAGACTCAACTTTGTACTCGGCCCATGTGTCTGCCGCATCTGTATCTCTCTATGTCTTTGTGAATGTGTCTGTATGTGTGCTCATATCACAGCATTGTTTTCCTGCAGATTTAAATGTGAATGCTAAAGCTTTAGTACTTGTATTCTGCGATGCTTTGCTGATGAATACACACACGTAGCTCCAAGCAACAACCGCCTTGCACTTAGTGCACAGTGCCTGCTCATCAGTACAGAGACAGCACAGTAAAGAGACTCTCCCTCGCTGTAGTAAAACTTTATGACTTTCCATGTTGCTTTTGTCTCCAGGCATCGGATATTACAGAGGATGATAAGTATTCATTTAGATTTTTGCCAGATCACCAGTCCTTAGCGTCAATACAGCTCATCTGAGCTCTTTAAAAAAAGAGTTTGGTGTGTGTCTGTGTGTGTGTGTGCATGACTTCATGAGTGGGCACCTAAGTTTATGCGTGTGTGTATTCCAAGGTTGTGATGAACCCACTGCAATATCACCCCTAAGAGGGTATTTATGGAGAAAATGATTACCTTGGAAAGAACAGAACTTTGATGAAAATCGTCCCACTTCAATTTGTACCTCGCAGGCCTGCAGTTTGAGACCTTGTTTATGGGTAATATTGGAAATCTGTAATATCATTCTGTAACCAACAACTCAAATGAAGACATGATTATATTCAGTAGCCTGAGTTCAAACATCTTTGTCACTGTAAAATAGCAGTGTATGTTTTTTTGTTTCAAATTGGTAAAAGGACCAATGCAATCCTTTTATTGTCTTCTTTTTCTAAGGTTTCTTCATTTAAATGTTTTGGTTTGAACATAACATTAGGCTCAACCTAAGGTGACTTTGTAATCCTACCCTACCCTTACCTTAGCTAAGCAAAAAGCAAAGACTATGTTGTTTCATGAGGCCTTATACTGTATATCAAATCAAATATAATCAGGTTTTATTTATATAGCACATTTTAAAAACGATTTTTGGTCGAGCCAAAGTGCTGTACATGCAAATAATAAATAACACATTACTACAATCGCAAAACAGAAGACAATAAATTACAACAGCAAATATAAAAAATCAAACACAGGGAAATGTCATGAGTCGTGCTCCGTGCTATCCTTGGTATCTGCTTAGACTAAACTGGACGGCTGGCCCAAGTGGCTCGATAATTGGTTTCTTCTAAATGCCATGGCCCTCCCAGTTGTCCAACAACCATCCCTATTAGTTCCACTTGTCTCACGAATATCCATTCATTAGCAACCCCTCTTGTATCAGATCATTTTACACGCTTGTGCCTGGTCTGAGAACTTCATAATGATGGTGTCCATGCTATCTTCATTGTAAAGTAGTTGTGTGTTGATGGTGTTAAGCCATTGTACCCTGCTCGGTTGTTTTTGTTGGTGAGAATTGTCCAGTTTTAAACGAGGCTAGGTTGAAGGGGAGAACAAACTATTGAACAAAGGATGAACGGGATTAAAGGCAATCTGCTTTGGTCTTTCTCTGTTTACATCTCTTTTCCCTGTGCATTTGATGTAGTCAAACGAGTCGTATGATAGACAATATTGACGGGCTTAAATGCCCTTATTGGATGAGAAGTGGCCCCTGGGTGCTGCCCCAGCGTTTTGTAAGAACTGAGTGCCAGACAAAAACCACACACTCACATACAGCATTACTTCTTTTTGCTACCCCAGCACTCTGAACAATTACCTTCCAGCTCTTTAAGACACGTACACATGAAGGCTATCTTTATCACTGCAATGTTTCCACCATTCCAGCCCACTTTTTGCCTGCTTTCCTTACCTCCTTCACCCAGAAACCATTAAACTAGATCCCTTCTAAAAGGCTTTAAGGCCTCTCTTGGCTAGCCACTTCTTCTCCAAAAGCCCTGCCATGGCTCTTTTCATGTTTTTAAATCAAAGTCCATGAAAGGTTGAGGGGGAAGCAAGGAGAAATTTGGGAGGAGTTTTTGTTTTTGTGGGTTGGAGACAAATCTAGTTTCAAACCTATATGGTGTTACGCACACACGCACACGCACACGCACACACAATCTGATACGGTACATGCCCTCCTGGTCTGTTCTGCTCTATCTAGTGACATGTGTTTCTCTGTCTCCCCTCTCACCTGCTCAAAGTTACAGTAGATGTGTAACCTGCTGTCTTTCTTTTTGTGTGTTATGCTTCTCACACTCAAATGTACTCATAAACAGACACTCACTCTCACACAACTGTAAGCGCACACTTTTACACCACAAACACCAGTAATACAGGCAGTTCAGAGGTGGCCTCTGCTGTGATTGGTTTGCTTCTCTTGCAGACGGTTCTGATTCAAGGATCATGGCGGTGTGTGGCTTTTTGATACTGCTGGTAGTCAACCCTGAAAATGTTTTCCTTGATGCTTTTTTGGCAGAGGCCATGTTGGTGGGAGCTCTGGCCAGCTCACTTCACCTGCCAGCTGCTCTGCTCAGACTGGTCCTTCTGGAGGCTTTTCTTTAAGTTTGATACTCAAAAAGACAACTCTGCTCTACTCCTCCGCCTCTCTCCACATGGCCCAGCAGATCAGGTTCCATATGCATCAGTGTCTCCGAGTGGGAGCGCTGACTCACCTTCACTTAATCTTTTCTGACTGCAGGGAGCTGTGTGGGTCCAAACCTGAGGCTAAGAATATTAAGGTGCATCCAGTTATTGATTGCTCTAAAAAACTGTTCTGTTCAAAACTAGCAAGTACACTGAGACTACAACTTGTGCTCACAGCTTTCCAGGGTCAACTGTTCTTTTTGATACGTTTTTTTTTTACATTTGGAGCAGGCTTTTTCTAAATGGCTCAACATACAGACACTGGAAAGAGGTATGATCCTGTTCAATAGGGGGGTAACAAAAGTAATACAAAATCGTTTAAAGGTGCGTAAATAAAAAGTCAGGACAATAAGACAAATCCTCTTGGGACCATGAATGTCGGATGACAATGTTTACCTCATTATTCATAGTTAAAATATTTACATCTGTACTGAAGTGAAATACTGAAAATAGTAACATGTTTAGACAAAATGTCTTACCTTAGATGGCTCTATGCCTGCAGCTCCTCCTCAATTCTCATTTCTGCTCGAAACACATTTCCACTGCCTCACCTGTGAAAGGAAATCCTTTATAGTCATTACTTTATGAACCATTTTGCAATTTACAAGCACTTTGGCTTCTTTCTGGTAAGGTGAGAAACCAACCTTTGAACTTCACAAGAGTTATAGGAGGTGTTTTACCCAGATAAGCCATACTGTATGGGACTTGGTGAGAGATAAATGGAGACCTTGTTCTTTCTTTTTGTGACTTTTTCCCTCGCTGTCTCTCTGGGTTTTCCATCTTCCTCTGCTTTGACTCAGCAACCTTTAAGGCACAACAGAAGGGGGGAGGAAGGCAGTGAGACAGGGAGAAATAGATAAGAACTGTATAGTGCTCAATTAGGACCACGGCTTACAAATAGTAGTGTCATTGTAATAGGTAGGGCTTCAAACAGACCTGTGAGAACGCCAGGCCGTGGCTGAACAGAAGCAGCAGGGACCTTTCACTTTCAATACAAACACACAAATACTCCAACCCAAATATAAAGCTCACAAAGGGAATGGCTAAACTGCATAGCGCATTGTAACATTGGTGCACTTTTCAGCTATAAATATCTGGAATATTATATCAGTCATACATATATGATAGATGATACAGTGTTGTTCCTGTAATCTTAGTTTTGTAAACTTGAGTTTTTTAACCATTGACCATTTTTTTTTTTATTCTGGAATTGCAGGATGACTTTCAAATGAAACTACGTTTTGGTTTTGGCGTTCATTATACCAGCTTACAAGCTCCACCCACTGTGAATCTTCATTTACTTTTTAGGATTCTTAAGTATTTGTATATTACATGTAGAAGTGTTTTTAATTAAACCATTGGGTATTAGTTCTTGAAAAGTGTTCCAATAATTCCATCTTTTAACCAGGGATGCCTCTAAATGTTATTTGATGATTGTTTTTCTTTGTTTCCCGGTTAATCAAAGCCTTTAGCATTTGTATCTCTTTTGTCTCCTTCCTCTTATCTTACAAAGTCTTTTTGACGATTGAAGAGTTTGAGGAAACACTGAGGAAGGTTTCAGAGAGGACTAACAATCTCCCACAAATTGTTGCAGTGCTGAGTGTGATGAGGGAGTCATCAATACCCATATTGATGACTACAGTGAAAGCTGGTGGAAATGTTCCCTATTGATCTCTGATCCATTATGAGCTGTTAGTAGACGGCTGGGTGAAGGATAGAGAACGGTCCATCCATCATAGGTTGACGCCCACGCTGCTTGGCAGACGAGCTCTTTTGGTTGTTTTGTCCGTTATCCTCCTCCTTCTCCTCTTCTCTTGTGATCCCCCTTTTTTCTTCTGTCCGTCAAATATATATCATGCAAATTACTGTCAAGTTCAGCTTTCTTCTCTCTAAACTTTCCTGCTAAGGTAGAAAAAGCAATTTATTTTCAACATAAATGTCATATATTGATGCTGGAAATGTGAATTAATGACACATTTTCAAACAGTAATATGCATTTGACGCGGTATTTTAGAAGAAAAAACTTGTGAAATGTAGTTGCCACATGAATAAAATGTATTGGGAATGTGAAAAAAAAAATGACTTTAATCTCAGAATTATGATTTTTTTTCCCAGAACAAAAACAAAACGTCTTTTCATTTGGCCCTAATCCTCTTCCGTACATCTACTTGAACTATGCATATTAATATTTTCTTTACCCGTGATGCTAAACTTTTTCTCTCCCTCTTCTCTCCCTTTTATTGTCAGGTCACTGATCGGTCTGTACGAGCGGTTGCTGAGCATTGTCCTGAGCTGCAGTTTGTTGGCTTCATGGGATGCCCGGTGACCTCTCAGGGAGTCATCCATCTCACTGCGGTTAGTGTCACTCACTCATATAGCTCCTTGGACCCTTACTTGTTACTTATTACAAGAACTCAACTCATGTCTTTACTTGCATACAAAATGAAGATACTTTAGATCCTCTATCTCCGTTGAAAGAGGGTTAATTTCAGTCAACAATTTCACTTTTTTGAAGTAATTACTCGTATCAGTAAATGTCAACAGAAATGTCAAGACTTTTGTTTAATCCTGTTACCGTGGGCCAGCTCTCTACGTTGCTGCAGGCCATGCATCGTCTCCAGGGGGGCAAATGACTTTTGGAGAGTAAACGTACGACATCGCTGGGTATTTTTTATCTCAGACTTAGTTTTGAAGTTATTTCGTGTTAACTTTTTAAATCTCATGAAAGCCTAATGAGATGAATCCTAATAATACGCTGCTGTTCTGGTTACACCCTGCTGTTTGGATATTACCATGCTAATGAGCAGGGCTCCCTGGTTTAAAGATGCTCCGTGCCATATAAACATGGACACACATGCACTCACACCGTGATTGCTTGAATTTAATCCATCAGGAAATACAGCACCCTGCTTTTCTTCAGATGTTTTTCCTTTCCCCAACATAACATCCATCTAGAGTGCACCTATGTATAAGTGTGCAGGGGTTGTTCACATCCATGTGTGCCTGTGTATTACAATTCGATTTGTTTTTGATGTACTTGGGGGTACACGCAAGTCTGAACGTACCCTTGTGGGCTACGTGTGCCCATTCCTCCTCAAATGCAATTACAGTTGTGTTAATAGGACTGAGACACCCGATGCCACGCTGCATTATTAGATTAAACAGCAGATTAATTTGTGCTCATGGTTTTGGCCCCCTATCATCTATGCAGCCCCCACTGACCTTGGCCAGTGTGTTGTAGACAGACAGTAATGAAGCCAGCCAGTCATAACAGCATTAGCATACCTGGAGGTGGACGCATACACATCCGCCCACACGCAGTCTAGCACACACTCATTATTATTTATTACAGTATTAACCAAGGTGAAGTTTTAGAAGTTCAGGCGATGAAGTTAATAATGCTGATAATATTTGTATTTTAAAGCTTCTGCTGTTTAAACAAAAAAATAACTTTATAGGTTTTTCTGTACTTTTTTCAAAACATTTTTAGGTTGGGGGTTTTAACAGGACAGACACCAGAGATACATGTAGAACCCCACTTTCAATCTTATACAAATTGATACAAGAAGTAATGTCACATGTATTCATACAAAAAAACCTCTGCAAAATGATACTACTACACAAAAATGCTTTTTTAACCCCACACCTCTGATGCAAAGCAATATAACTGTTCTGCTGTGAAGTCCACTTTCATGATCCCTATAAAGTAATTGTTGACGCTGTCATTAAGTTGTTGATTTAATTATATTTTTAAGCATTGAGGTGAGTGGTGCAGTACAACACTTCCAATTTGAATACGTCCTTATAGAGCCATCGACCACTGAACACATTTTAGAACGGAAATGCCAAACAAAGTTTAGCAACCATTGCATAGCATTTTAAATACAGAGCAAGAAGTGCATTATTCAACTAAATCGAGTCGAATTCAATTTAGTTTCACTCGTCCTGACACTTCCAAAATCATTGATGGTTGTGGACCGAAGTGGGCTGTAACCACACCCTCCAGTGATGCCACAGTGTACAAACACACCCGGCTATACACATCTACATCCCTGCAGCAAGGCGTTGGAGCTGAGCAATTAGGAAACTGATGAATTAAGAGTTTATGTAAATAAATATTATAGGTTGATCTTATTTTTATTACACTTTTTTAAAAATCAGTCTCAAAAACCTGTCAGTTTTGCCTCACCAGCATTTACAGAACACACACTTTGCCCACCTAAAAGGATTATTAATCAAACACAGATTTAGTCAACCACTTAGATACTTAATTTCTAAGATAATAACACTTGAATCGTGATGAGGCATAAATGTTTCAAAGACCACATTCATTTGATCTGTACAGATTTAGAGTCAAATCACAGCTCTCTTTGTATCTGTCATTTCAGCCCGGAGTCCCTCTCTGGTTCTCTACTTCCTCTCTCCATCCCTCTATAATCTCTAATAGTAATTATCTCGTTTAGCAGTTGATGTATCCTCTCATTCATTCCCACTTGGTCCCATCCAGTGTCAATTGAAAATCATATTTTGGCGTTTGGAATCGTTGCATTTCTGATGACTCCGTGGACCTGCATGTGATTTCAGGACTGCTCTCTTGTTAGATTATGAGACTCTCACTCCCACTTCTTTTCTTCCTCGATTGCTCTTTCTCTTGCTGATAATCTTCCCAACCTCCTAACTTGCTATTCAGCCACCACCAGAAAAAAAGCGAAGAAAATCCATTACTTTTATTAACTTATTTTATATGACACACTCATTTCAGATTGATATTCTTTTTTCATACCGACTTCTCGCAAATTAGGGTTTGAGAAAATCAATTGAAATCGTATTTTCTTAATCAAGTGAGCTGATGGTTGAAATAGGCCACCCACGGTGTTGAGTTCGATGCCGATGGTCTGTAGAGTATACTGTAAAGCTGTGATATTTATGCTCCTAATGCTTTTCAGTCTTTCAGTCCTACGGCAGCTTAGTGGTTCCTCTGTGCTCTGATAAATCATCATCCTGTTAGCGACTAAAAAGGAAAATCAAGATTGTCTGCTGTCTGAAAGAATAAAGGATGCTAATCGAAAACAAGCGTTCTAACACTTTCCTTACAGCTTGAAAATGAGATATTATAAACGGCTTTAAATGTCAAAACAAAACAGAGGATTTTAAAGCAGACGTGCATCTGATGTGGTCTTCTGTGTTGGCGTGCTGAGGATCCTCTGTACATTGTTATTTATGGTCGGTGTTGAGATTGAAGCTCAAAGCCAGCTCTAAGCCCTTGACATTAATAATAGTTTTATTGATGAGGTTGTCACATCCCAAGGCTGTGTAATGGATACAAAACGTGTCGGGGTAGAGGCTTTGTGGGTGTCCCAGAGCATTCAGTGGTTTGTTTGCAACTAATTTGACGACTTTCTATGTGTTTTTGTGGTCCTGTATGATATTAATCATTCTCCTCATTTAGTCTCAGGCGCTCTACTCTTTAGTCAAGCCTGTGACCAGCCCCAGAGGTGGAAGTGCAATAGATTTATGGAGGTGTTGGCCATTATAAAAAGGGTGGAAGGCATCACTTTGCAAGCATGAGTGTGATCTGTGTGTGTGTATGATGAAAGGGATTTATGTGTGTTTCAGAAGTGGGTGACATACTGCATTTTCTGTGCTCTCTCTCTGCTTCTCAGCCTCTGTGACACGGACAGAGACATTATCCCTCTCTTTGAACAGTGCTGTTACCTGTTGTCTCTCTACGCTTCAATCTCTGTGTGTATTTTTTTTCTATCTTCTATACTAGTGTGTTTTTTTTCTACACAGTCTCGCACCGTCCCTCCATCTTCCTGTCAAGCGCCGCTCTTTTCTTCTGGTAGTGATTAAGTCCAAGGTCGGCTGTATCAGAGAGTCAGTGTTTGAGAGCAGCTCTGGGTGCCAGAGAGCCTTCATTTCTCGACCCTTAGATGTCCCACTGATGGCTTCCCTTTGCTTGTCATTTCTACCCACAATGCCCCTCCTCATACATCAGCCTATCATTGCCCTTAAGACACTGTGGGCCTCAAAATGCCTTTTTTGTATGTGTGGAAGTTCCCACCCCCGGGAGAGAGGGAGAGCGGGCCAACGACATAACAAATGAACAGACTGTTGAAGAATGTGTCAGAGATGAAAAGAGATATATTTGGAGACTTTGATAGCGATGTGTTGTCTCTATGATGTGCAGATCTTGGATGTTTCTGGTCTTAATTTTGGCTCTTGTAGATTAATTCAGCCGTGCCGCTTCAGTGTTTTCCTTGTTTCTTCTCCAGACTAAAAAGCTGAGACCTTCAATAAATGCGCACTAAATTTGACAGGTTTTGGACCGTGGGCAATACCTCATTCTCTCTGTGTGTTTATGAGCAAATAAAACAGTCTGGGAAAGGGACAGGGAAGCTATGTAATTTCTCAACCAGAATCATATGTTCTATCCATTCCCGTGGTTTAGTGTCGTAGCATATACTTGCAGCATTGAAGTTCAGATTTAGCCTACAACCTCTTAAGAAATAGGAAAAACAAGAGAAACATTTAAGAAAATTATTTATTTTCCCATTTTCATTTCAAAATGCCCACAACCTTAGGTTAGGAAAGCGGTTTTGAAGTTTTGAAATACAAAAGGTTAAGATGCAGGTCTTCACCCACTGTCACCTTCACACCTTCCACTCCACCAGCCCCTCCCCACATTGGATGATTGGTGTCTGGCTTTGCTGTAGTCTGCTGGACCCTTATCTCCTCCCTCTGACTGGAGCACAGGAAGTACATAATCACAGTGCCCTGTGTCATACTGATAACTCCCAGCACAAACCGGGGAAGTGTCAGTGTGTGTGTGTGTGAGTTCATTTCTATTTGTACCTTTTCCTATGTACAAATGTGTGTGTGTGACTGTGTACGTGCTCGTGTGTATTGTGTCTCAGGGGTGGTGGAGAGGATAAAGGGGAGACGAAAGAGCATAGGGGATTTAGAGGAAGAAAGGTAATGGGGTTGTGGGGGGTCGCAAAATGAGTTGAAATTGTAATAATAATTTTCTTCACTGCTGTATGGAGGAGATTGGGGGATTTATGAATATAATGAGCAGAGAAGAGCCTAAGGATGATGTGTGTCTCTCGCAAGAGTAATTGAAGAATAATTCTTTTGGCTCTAAGACTTTTAACCCAGAGACAGATAGAGAGGTTTCTGACCTCTGGAGGGGGGGATATCATGTCTCATTATTGGCCCAACTAGTGTCACTGTGCTGTGACTGTCATCCAGTGCTGTCGCACAGACTACTGCCTGTGTACGTAAGTGTGTATGCGCGTGCCGATGTGGTCATTTGGCTTAGAGCGGCGAAGAGAAACCAGCACTCTCTATCTCCT